AGCGTGGACGGCACCGCCAACCCACTGCCATCCCTCAATCGATCCAGCCGACCTCAGTCGAAGGACAACAGAGAGCGGTGTGCGGACGTAACCTATACGGAGGGAATGCTGTATTCGCCTAGGTTGTAGCGCCCTTGCTCGCTACCATTTTCTTCTAGCGGTTGGGACCTGAGCACTAACTCTTGTCCTAGCCCTATATGGCATATGGTTATAGCGCCATTACTCGCTTTCTGAAAAGAGAAGAAGGGAAGGGAAGGAGAGGAAAAGGACTTGGGAAAAGGAAATGCGGAATTCCTTTCCTCATTAGTATTTGTATCGTCAACTTTTATGAAAACTATATAAATCATTCTTCCTTGGTCAGAGGTATTATTACGACATTTGAATAAGATTGTCTTATCATTTCCCTAATAAAAATAACCATAAAAGAGAGTTTAACGACGTGTTCGGGGTATCATCCAAACCCTATGTGGGATGGTTTACCTATCCGAGATACAGTTCGTTTATGGTATTTGTTTATTAGGGTTTTTTTTTTTTTTTGTTAATTACTTTATTTGTACAGGCTCATTCGAATAAACTTTACAGAGCCAAGTTATCATTTTCTTTATACATTATAAATGTCTTAAATCTAAAATTAAAGGATTGGAACCGATTACTCGCGGTCTTCTCGAGGTTAGTGGATGACAATTGTTTGGATCGGGAGAGGGAAAAGGAGATTTGGAATATGATTTATGATTCAAAAATTTCACTATTTCTAAAACAAATACTTAATCCTATCGACGTTATATCAACTCTGTAATTATACAATTATTACAGAAACAAATCTACAAAAAAAAATACACACACACATACAAAACACAAACTAAACACAAGGTTAATCAAACTTACAATCTATGGTTAATATTCTTCAAGAAAACATATATGAGTTGCATAAACTCCAGATCGCGTCTAGCCAAAATATCCCGAACTGGAACATTAGGTTGTCTACCTCGAGCCCGAAGGGAATCGTACAACTCGGATCTGACTCCACGGTGCTCAGCACATGACCAAATAATGTGATCTGCGTCCTGGTAACCTTGTCCACATTCACAGAGATTACTGTCCCCCAGCCCAACACGGAACAAGTGAGCGCTTAGTGAATAGTGATTGGACATGAGGCGAGACATCACACGAATGAAGTCTCGACCCACCTCCAAACCTTTGAACCAAGTTTATTAGGGTTGTTATTCAAAATTTAATGTTATAATGATCAACATAGCTTTGGATTATCCAATATAAATCGGTAACACTGTCCTGCAACCGATGTAGGAAGCACCAAAGAATATATATAGACAAATCTCAAAAACACAGTTTTAACTGATAGTACTTTATAAACATCAAACTGTCCAATATTGGATCCTGCCAATTATAAGCACCAGAATAAATTGCAACGGACTCATTGATCCATGAACGATGTCCTGTTACAGTGATCTCCATACTCAAGGGTTGGTTGACTGGGCTCGAAAATAGGTTTTCCTATTCTTAGTATCGGACAAGCGAACCAAAAATCCTGTATGGCCAATCAGTTGATTAGTCAGATGATGAAAGCACAATTGTGGCTGAATGGATTCAGGCTGCTAATCGGAGAATCTGACCCACTTGTAAGGAACACAAAGAGCCACAAAGAACAACCAATGGTGCTAGGTTCCGAGATGATCAGTGGTTTAAGAACTCTGGGGTGGCAAATAGTTGAAGGAACACTAATTACAACTTCACAAAAGTCTAGAAAAAACGGAGCAAAAATTGACGGCTGAAAATTTTCTAAGTCTCTCCTTGAAAACGAGACCCATTTTAGTTAAAGGAACAAAACTGTCAAAATGGTCGCCTCCCTTGGTATAGTGCGACGTGATCAACCTGAGCCTCCCAACAAACAAATTGTGCTGATTAAAGGCTGAATAGGGTAAACGTACCAATAGTGGAGGTACATTAGTGCAATGTGTTTCTATAGTGGCTTATAGAGACCTTAAGCATTTCTTTAGCTGAAAAAGCATATTTTTGCCTGTATAAGCTCCTTCTCTTTAATCCATTATGTGTTAAATATGCTTCAATTAAACAATCAAATTGACATTCCATTTATTCAATTACAACGTTTGCTATTTTATGGATTTTTAATTGAGCACAGGTAAAGATACACTGAATTTAAGTTAACACTTGACAGCCACTTGTCTGCCATAGTTCTGCAACATAAAGATTTGTGATGATAATAATTTGTGATAATAATAAAAGTGTATGCATTTTGTAGCCGAAAACCAGGAATTTCCCTGAAAGTTGTTTGATCTTCCACAACTTGCCTCAGTTCAAGATAAAATTATTGAAAAGTGTTTAAATTTTCATAAAAATCTTTAATACATTTTCATATGCGTCATAGCGATACACAATCATGAGCAAAGATGTGTATTTTTATATAATGTGTAACTTTGTAGAACATTGGAAAGCATTAAAATAATTGTGTGCAAAGTTTTTGGTGAAAAAACTGATTTTAAAAGGCTTTCCACAAACAATGCAGCAAATATCGTCAATTTTAAGGAGTACAGAGTTGCTGTTTTTGATTATTGTTATGCACATAGTAAATAATTAAATTTGGTATCACTCTAATACGTGTAGGGGGAGGAGGGGCATAGTGAGCATCCCGCAGTTTGGCTCTTCAGCTGCATAAAACAAATCAATATCATTATGATATTGCTCCTACCACCAACCAATTTGTTCCGAACGGCCGGAAGTCCAAGCTGGGGAACGGGATGCTCACTATGCCCCTCTTACCCCTGTACATCATCACTCTAATGACACGACAAGATAGACTATTTTATGTCAATACACTTCTTTGAAAACCGTGAACTCACACATTTCCTCGCAATGAAAAAACGTGTTAAATTAATAGGTTTGCTCCGCAGGGCCTGGAACGAAAATTTTCGGCTAATGAGGGGCTGTAAGAAGGGGGCAAATTTACACAATAATTTGCATATTATTGAAAAAGAGTTGATTTTAATTTTCTGGAGGGACTAGCATCGATATATATAGAATTTTGGATGCTGCTTAGATTGACGGGAATACGTAAAGTCCCCTACCGCATTTGAATATTTCTTATCATTGCAGAAAATATTGCACAGAAAATCACATACAGGATCTTGAAAAACCAGAATCTATCCATCTATGAGTAGATCTGACCCTTGTTAGTAATTTAAATTCCGGTGAAGTTATGGAATTTGATTGCATTCGGAACATGTCCGGGTGTGCCCAATGCGGTCCTTCCTAAGAACTCATTATAACCGCAAATGATTATGCTATTGAACTGTCAAGTGGTTTGCTGTGACAAGTGGCGCAGCCGGGCCTCGGTTCGAAAGTTGATTTTTTAGGGCAAAAATGTCAGGTTGGTTCGCGAACTGTTTTAATTTCGGAAATCTAAAATCTTAATTTTCGGGATCTTGAAATGTCTCATTGTCCGGAATCTCCAACAATTGTCGTAGTCGGAACTTCCGTTTGTTTGCTCTGGAGCATTTAAAGGGTGTCCACGATGAAATTGCTCTAACTTTTTAACCGTTGGGTAGAACTTAATGAAAATTTGGGTGGATTTAGTTCATAGTGCATTATTTACATCCTGCAAGTTTTAAAGTCCTGTGATCAAAACTCGCGGAAATGGAGTCGAAAGAACAGCTCGTGCGTGATAAAATCTTGCGCATTCATCACGAGAACAAGGATCTCTCGCATCGTTCCATCGCTAAAACGTTGGGAATCGCGAATTCCACGGTGTCGCGAGTGATTAAGCGGTTCGAGGAACGGTTGATCACCGATCGGAAGCCCAGAAGTGAAGGAAAAAGTATTCCGTACAACACCAAAAATCACAACCGCGTAGTTGGGGCCTTCAACCGAAATCCGAACGCCTCCGTTAGGGATGTGGCTAAGAAGCTGCACCTAAGCCGAAGTTTTGTCCAGAAGGCCAAAACTAAGGCTGGGCTTCGAACGTTCAAGGTACAAAAGGCCCCTAATCGCGACGAGAAGCAGAACAAGTCCGCCAAAACCCGTGCCAGGAAGTTGTACCTCAACATGCTGACGAAAGTTGAATGCTGCATCATGGACGACGAAACATATGTGAAGGCCGACTTCAAACAGATCCCCGGCAACCTGTTTTTCACGGCCAAGGATAAGTTCAGCGTTCCGGAGCATGTCCGCACTCAGAAGATGTCCAAATTTGCGAAGAAATTCCTGGTTTGGCAAGCCATCTGCACGTGCGGGAAGCGGAGTGCACCTTTCGTGACCCAGGACACGATAAACGGACAGGTGTACATAAAAGAGTGCCTCCAGAAGCGGCTGCTTCCTCTCCTGAAGGCCCACAACGTCCCAACAATCTTCTGGCCGGATTTGGCCTCATACCACTACTCCAAGGACGTGCTGAAGTGGTATGCGGACAATAAGGTCAATTTCGTGCCGAAAATGTTCAACCCTCCCAACACTCCGGAGCTCCGCCCCATCGAGAAGTACTGGGCGATTATGAAGCAGCACCTTCTTAAACGACCTAAGGTAGTGAAGACAGTCGAGGAACTGAAGAAAGTATGGGTTTACATGCAAAAAACGGTTGATTCACAGGTTGTGCAGAATCTTATGACCGGGGTTAAGGCCAAGGTGCGGGCATTTGCGTATGGACTGTAAATAAAATACGAGTAAAATGGTAAAATGAAGTTTAATAGTTATTTCTCAATCCCTGAAAATTTGATGGCAATCGGATGAAAACTCGAATTTTGCGAATCAATTTTGTGTGTGGCAATTTCATCGTGGACACCCTTTAGATTTAAGGATAGTCAGGATTAACAGCATTCAGGAGCGTTGGGATTCGGTGTAGGGACATTCGAGGTGATGGTATACGAGAATATATACCATTTATTGTCATTCTTGAACTCGTATCACTAACATTTACCCAATAGGTCATAATCACAACCCCAATGTAAAACGCATGTTGCTTTTTTTTGCAGGTACCCGAAAATGGTTTGAACCGCCTATCAGACCGGTTACTACTATTCCGCCATGACTATACTTCGTCCAATGTACTTCAAATGATCAACTCCGCCTCAGAGATCGTCGATGAAACCCTGGTGGAAATTGTGCTGACAGCCAACCGTAAGTCCTCTGGCGGCATCTTAGCCGAAAATGGAGCTCACTCTTTAATTAAATGCAGAAATTCTTCTTTCAGCAATCAACGCCCCCGGTTCGGACGACATCCCGTTGGTGCGGCCGCACGCCCTTGCCGTACACTCGTACAAGGCTCCCACGTTCTGCGACTTTTGCGGTGAGATGCTATTCGGGTTGGTCCGCCAGGGGCTCAAGTGCGAAGGATGCGGCCTAAACTATCACAAGCGCTGTGTCATCAAAGTGCCAAATAACTGCAGCCGCGTGGAGCACATTGGAGCGCTGAACGCCGGCAGCGGTAGCGGTGGCAATCGACGCACATCTTCCAGCCTACAAGCCCCACCCGCCAGAAGCGCCTCCGGAGGCTCCAACAACTCGCTCACCTCCGAAGATCAGGCATCCAGTGGATCCGGTTCACTGCTGGTAAGAAAGATGCAGCAGCTTATGAACGAGATCAAAAACTGAACTCTCAGTATGAGTTGTTTGTGTGTCACTGACGTGCTTACCTAAACACGCTACTTGACTGCTATAACTACAATGAATCATTCCGTATTCCGTCCAGTGGAAAGTGACTTAGACTAATTTATTCAAACTATAACCGACATTAATTATAAGAGAAAACCTGAGTTATCTCGCTTGGTGATGGTGCAAATTTCTTAATGATAGATTCTGATAAATGACGCTGTGTTTGAGACACATTCCTTAGTTTACCGAGAATCGGACAGTATTTTAAGTTTGATTATACCTATGTTTATTTCGGTACTTACTGCTTTGGAAGTATTTTTTTGTGTTCATGTTCATGTATTCAATTGTAACAAATGCACATTCGAAATAAATATTTTTACTACTATTTTTTTGTTTCTTATTTTTTACGTTACAGAAAGTCCTTTATCAGAACTGTCTAAGAAAAGCATCTTATCCGACTAATGTGATACTTTAGGTTTTCTTTTTACATGTGGTTCGTAATCTCGCTCCGCAATCTGACTGGTTTGGGCAAGCAATAAATTCTATTCTTCTCCCTTTAGCTCAATCCAAACTCCCAAGCAACGACCAATATTCGTCAGAACCGGTCGCCATCACTCGGTAGTCGAGGTGGTACCGTCGGTAGCATCAAAATACCTCATAGTTTCTCCATTCACACCTATACCCGTCCCACGGTATGCCAGTATTGTAAGAAACTCCTCCGCGGATTGTTCAAACAGGGAGTGCAATGTCGCGATTGTCACTATAATGCACACAAGAAATGTGTGGACCTTGCGCCAAAGGACTGTACCGGTGAAAATACTCAACCGGTAGACCCACACGACGAACGCAATCTGCTTGGGGATCGTGAGATGACCTACAAGGAAGATACTGGCGATGAAAGTGACCTAGACGACAATCCCTGCAGTAGTACAATGAACAACAACAATAGGATCAGTCAGAATCGAAACGTGAACCTGATGGACAGTGGCCCTCCGGTGAAAATTAACGGGATGATTTCTTCCTTACATGAGGACGAATCTTCGGATCGACTCGAGGTGATATGTGAGCAATCACGGCAATCTAGCAACTCGTCGTCGTCCCCGAGTGCGAACATTCCACTGATGAGGATCGTTCAATCGGTGAAGCACACCAAGAGGCGCGATGGGCGGGCCGTCAAAGAAGGCTGGTTGGTGCACTTCACCAACAAGGATAAAGCTATCAAACGGCACTACTGGAGGTTGGATTCGAAAGCGATTACCCTGTTCGTTTCCGATCAGGGCAGCAAATACTACCGGGAGATTCCGCTGAATGAAATTTTGACGGTGGATGCGGCTAGGAACCTTCAAAGTGAAGTTCTGCACTGCTTTGAGATTAAAACAGCCAACGTGGATTACTTTGTCGGGCAGGACCCGCTCTATAGTTTGAAGGAAGGTGAGTACCTAGTATAGAGACAAGACGGGTGTACCTTCAGCAGCCTCTAAATATGTATAATATATTAGTATTATTCAATTGAATTTTACACAGAGTTTTTTAAGTTCAATTGGAAACATTTAGCAGTCTCAGACATTGAAAAATCAAAAATGTTAAAACATAAGTATGCGATTTCTTTGAATTCTTCCTAATGTGTTTTATTATTCATAAAGCTGAAGACAAAATATCCTTGTCAAATTATCAATTGTTTTCTACTCTGAAAGATTTCCACTTTCTTTATACCATAAGTTTTAAACAATAGCAACCAGTTCCAAAAAATAAGATCTATCATTAAAAATTTAAAGATTTTCAAAAACTGAACAACTTCTCTCGTACTCTGCAGGAGATCCCATGCTAGCGCTTCCACCGCCGGACAGTGGAATCGGAGCATACCTTGCCAAAAGTTGGGAAACGGCCATCAAACAAGCGCTGATGCCGGTCACCACTATCGGCCGTTCGGAATCGGCTGGTGGTGAACCAGAGGAGAAGGTCACCGACATGAGCCAACTTTATCAAATCTTTCCGGACGAAGTGCTCGGCTCGGGTCAGTTCGGTATAGTGTACGGCGGCGTCCACCGGAAGACGCACCGGACGGTAGCGATCAAGGTGATCGACAAGCTGCGGTTCCCCACGAAACAGGAAGCACAGCTGAAAAACGAGGTGGCAATCCTGCAGAATCTATCGCACGCGGGCGTTGTCAATCTGGAGCGAATGTTCGAAACCCCAGAGAGGATATTTGTTGTGATGGAAAAGCTGAAAGGTGACATGCTGGAGATGATCCTTTCGCATCAGAATGGACGACTGAGCGAACGAGTTACCAAATTTCTAATCACTCAAGTAAGCTCACGGCACGGCTTTTGTGCAATCAAATTAGTTAGTTAATTTAATCCGTTTTTTTTTTGTTCGCAGATACTCGTTGCTTTGAAATACCTGCATAGTCGAAATATTGTACACTGTGATTTGAAACCGGAAAATGTACTTCTTTCCTCGGATAACGAATTCCCACAGGTGAAGCTGTGTGACTTTGGATTTGCGCGAATCATTGGAGAGAAGTCCTTCCGGCGATCCGTCGTTGGCACTCCTGCTTACTTAGGTAATTTTTTGCTGTGTTATTTTACTAAATTGATTTTAACCAATTTATGTTGCATTAAACAGCTCCTGAAGTTCTGCGAAACAAAGGATACAATCGCTCGCTGGACATGTGGAGCGTAGGGGTAATCATCTACGTTAGTCTGAGCGGCACTTTCCCGTTCAACGAGGACGAGGACATCAACGATCAGATCCAGAATGCAGCATTCATGTATCCGCCAAATCCTTGGAAGGAGATTTCGTCTGATGGTATGAAGATATAAGAAAAACTTCTGAATAGATATTGTCATTAAATTCACCATTTGCAGCAATCGATCTCATCAATAACCTGCTGCAGGTGAAGCAACGGAAACGGTTCACAGTGGACAAGTCCCTTCTGCACTGTTGGCTGCAGGATTTGCAAACGTGGAACGATCTCCGCATCCTGGAATCACAGGTTGGCCTGCGCTATCTGACCCACGAATCGGACGATGCTCGCTGGGGCAATTCATCCATCGGGGGTGGTATCCCATGACCTGAATCGACTACAGTAACATCCACAGTACCGATGGTGGCTGGTGCCGGAGGAGCGGTTGGCAATAGCAGCAGTAACAACAGCAGCAGCAGCAACAATCAATCCTCGCCCAAAATGAATGATTTCCGTGGCAAGGCTTACAAGTGGGTTCGTGGACGCCTCTGCCGGTTGATCAAGGCCTAGGGACATCAAGTAGGTTATAAATTGACATTTACATTTTACTTCAGACAAATACACGCGAATGCGCAAAAAACGAGTGAGATTCGAAGGAATTAGTGTCCTTTTCACCCACCCCCCAGGAATTCGAGAGATAGATAAATGTTTCTTTTCCAAGCAACTGAGAAGCGATTGATTGTCACACGAAACGTGAACTTAAAACTACTGTGAGCTAATTATAGGAAGGCGGTTCAAAAGTAGCTTAAATACACAACTTATTGTTGCATATTAAGATATAAAAAGTTCAATCACTAACATTATATTAGCCAAGGAACAATTGTGAGAACATGCAATTAATTCGACAACAAATAAAAGGAATTGATGACTTTGTAATTAATTCAAGTTGATACATAATTATTGATCCACTATTACTGCTAAGGAATGACCTAGATCTGGATTATCTATCGGCTACTCTATTAATATCGGATAAGTTTCGTGGTCAAGAGAGGAACGGATGAACAAAGCTGAATCAATATTTTCCTACTTATCATACTTACGACACAAATCGGCATCACAAACACAACAAATAACTTACTTTTAACTGCAAACGGGACTGGAAGGAAGGCATTTTTTAACGATCTATAGGTATACTTTTTACATTTTTACTGGATAGGACCTAATTTTAAGAGTAATGCACTTCCTTTGGAGAAGAATCTAATACGTACCTACTTCTTTACGTACTTCATAATATGGCTAGAAGAAAATTATTTCAATTTGATTTTATTTGTTAGTTTGCTTGAAACTTTGCTACGAGGGACTAAAACATAATTTGACGGAAGTATTTTCATCGCACTGAATACCAGTGTTAAAAACGAATTCAAAAGCTTAACGTGCCCCGCTTAGAATTTGAGGAAAGCAATGTTTAAAGCAAACTATTTGTCGTCTCAAATGACAATATGTACTAACCTACAAGAATACTCTTTTGATGGAAACTCCAAAAAGATCTGAGCTGTATATTATTTACTGTGAAAACATAGTTTAGTTCCATTAGTGCGACAGCTTGTTATGAACTGTTAAATGTTTAGAAACAAAATCGATATTCGTACTATTATCATGCTAGATATTTGAAAATGTTTTCTTATTATTAGTTAGAATTTAACTGTCTTCTTAGACTAATTTGTGGTAGCTATAGCAAACGATCTGTATTACTGTTTTTAAAACGAAACATTCCTTGTAAGGAGCTTACAACTTATTGTTCTGTTTAATGTTTTCGTCTTCGAAAATAAATCACCTTTGTACGTTTCTACTTAACTGCTTTAACTTTTTTTTTATTTAGATATATATTTTATAAACTAAATGCAATATACAACAATAACAGTTCATTTGTCTTGTGTTATTCTGTTTCTCATCAAATTTCAAAGTGCCTAAAATCGAAAGGATGTGTCAAATTGAAATCCTACTCAAAATATATACCTACCCTCAAAACAAACCTATGTACTTTCTCATTCAATAAATCAGCCTACAAAATATCACCAGTACATCTAACATTTCCTCAACCGGTCCTCAAATGCTAACATCCATCTTAACATCGCTACTACTAATACATTTCTATTTAACATATACTGAAAGTACTAGTGATATACTTTTCGTTCATCAGGCTTTCAACGTGATAGTAGGAAAACAGAACATCCCCCCTTCAATTCTATCGAACACCGAAATGATTCCGAATTCTATAGTGAAAATATAGTACGATACTCAACTCTCATACGAATCGATGAACTGACTTAAATCTAAACACAATACAAATCATGCCAAATGTATACAAATACCTAATTACAAAGTTTGCCAAAAGTTTGAAAAAAAGAAACTATAAATGAAATAAAAAAAAACTGAATTACGGTAACGAACGGAACCAGAATAGGATGCTCACGCACTCGAGACATATTGAGACGGGTCGGCAAACGGGAAGCTTGATTCCATTTTTAGATGTTTTTTCTATACAATTTTTTTTTTCCATTCTCGTAGAGCTAGGCATCTTAATTAGCAAACTTTAGCATACCTACGACAGAAGAAGATCGAAACAATTACAACTATCAACGAAAGTATTACATACACAGCTAATATCTTCCAATAGACAGATGAAAAGCAACACACAGAAAACCAAACTTTTGTACTACATTTTAAGCGTACTCAAACTAATAAAAAAAAAAAACAAAAACACTTAACTGTTGGAACGAAACAGGTACAAGGTGATCGAAGAGAAACTATAGTTGCACAAATTTACCAAAATTTTGAGAATCACGCGTCGCTATACTGAAAATACTCATTCATCACGGTATGGTTTACTAACATCTCACATCCACTGACATTCTAACCATTTTTATTTCTAAAATGATCTTATCTAATTCGTTAGCTGACACCATGCATCGTGTAATTCAGTAAATTAACGAAATGTATTGAGGCAAAAAGTTACTCAGATTTACACTCGGTTTATTAATTGATTGAAAAGGCAAAATATATTCGAACAAGGATTGCAAATAGCCATCCCTATGCCCATATCCGTTAACTAAAGCGTACCGAAAGTTCCATAAGTTTGCAGTGCTCTCTGTGTTGCAATAGAGATCCTCTGAAATTCCACTCAATTATCTACTCTTCTCTCTGGACTGCCCGAAGTAGGTTGGATCGGTTGAATGAACGCAAAAAAAGAGATAGCAAGCTGTTGCGATCTGTTTCGACCTCTCAATAAACAAAGTTTGACTGGGTTTTGTGATCAGACTTCGATCGGCTTAACATATCTTTAATAAAGAAAGTCGTTGTTGTGACTTGTGATCAAAATACCCTGCGCTTTGATAAGATGGCGTATAGGGCTTTGTTGTGCCAATTTGGTCGTGGTACATTTTGAGTATGAGAGAGTGATTGCAGTTTGCTCAAAAGTGCCTGAGCAAACTGCATGTACTTTCGATGATTATTTGTAGTTGTGTCAGTCAAGATACGGCGTGTTTTCCATGCATGAACAGTTTTACTTAGGCCATTCGCAATGTTGAGTAGCAATATTGTTTCAAATTACTAGGCAGTTCTAACAATTTGAAACTGTAAAAACATTAAACTGCACACGATCAGCCCAACGCACAGTTTTAAAAGGTGTTTGATATCCATCCCTACATATGTGTGCGTGTGCAAAGTTTACTTTTGCGATTTCAGCACAATAATTCTGATTCGAGGACATGTTTCCTGGAACACGATGATTACAACAACGAGATCGAACCACGAGAAGAGGCTGGGTTTAGTCCTAATGATGGATTAAGCTGTAGTACTTACACCATCGGCCAGAAATTTTCGACCATGGCTTGTAAAAAGTGCCAGAAGACTGTTTCCGAAAAGGAACGCATTTTTTGTCGTGGATTCTGCGGTGATACTTTTCACATCATTTGCGCCAAGGTTGAACTTGAGCTTCTTGACCAGCTGGGACTGTACGAGAAAAACGTGTTCTGGATGTGCGATCACTGTTCCGAGCTTTTCACTAACGGTCATTTCCGCAACATCGTCAGCCGGGACAGCGCGCAAAGCTCTTTAATACCAGAAGCTGTCGATTCGATGAAGGCGGACATTGATAAATTGAATTCGGCAGTGGCCGCCCTAGCGGCCAAAGTAGACTCGAAACTACCATCCGCTTCGACATCGACATTGTCTTGGCCTAGATCGGATCGTCTCAACTCTACTCGTAAACCCCCAAAGCGTCGTCGGACTTCGATTAACTCGAACGATAAACCGATTCTCAGCGGCACGAAACCACCCAGTGAGTCGATTAAAACAGTTAACCAAAATGCGGATAAGGTGTGGGTATATTTATCGGCGTTTCACCCCAGTACCACGAACGAAGATATTGCGTCACTCGTTCGTGACTGTCTGGCACTGGACCCTAGTGAAACACCAATGGTGGCCAAACTGGTACCCAAAGGTAGAGATCCAACAACGCTGAACTTCGTATCGTTCAAAATTGGCGTCAAGAAAGAACTGCGTGACCTGGCACTTTCTTGCGACTCTTGGCCTGAGAGTATCCAGTTCCGTGAGTTCGAAGATTCACGAAGCTTGAAAATCACCCAATTGACGAATGCTGCCCCTATGGAGTGACAGCTTACACTTCCAGAAATTCAACCGAGACGCACCGTAGAAAGCCTCATGGAAGCTCCCAATCGCCCCAACCCAGTCCGGCATATCGCAGCCTCCGTTTATCACAACCGTCTCGGTGCTGTGGTTGGTGGTGGAAAGGGAGTCTTCCACCATGCTTGCACAGGCAAGTACTGTTTTGATTCGAGCTTTTCGTTGCGTGACGAGTTTTCCCGCACCCAGGTTATCATTAGCTGTCCGGACCATGATGAAGTGAATCCTGTTGCTGCTGCACTTCGGACAAATAGACGCATCGCAGGAACGAACGATGAGTATTTTCAACCGGGACGCACCGTAGAAAGCACTTGGGAAGTCCTCGGTTCCTCTAACTCAGTCGTGCCGATTCCTGCCAGCGTACATCAATGTCGTCCCGGCTCTGAGCTTAGATGTGGATCGGGGGTCTTCCAACTTGCTATGTCAGGCAAGTACAAATATTATTCTGAACATTCGCTGCCTGATGCCGAGTTGAATTTCAGCACTCTGGATGTCACCGATCGAGGAAATGCTTCTACTCCTGTTAATTGGAACCCGGGACGCGCTGTAGAAAGCATTGTGGAAGCCCCCAATCCCTCTGACCCAGTCCTGCCATCTGCTGCCTCCGATCTTCATAGTCGTTCCGGGCCTGTGGTTGGATGTGGAGAGGGGGTCTTCCAACCTACTCACTACGGCGAGTATCCACTTGAGATTGTTCATGTCCATTCGCCACCTGATATTTCCATGACTTCCAGGGAAAACGCCTTACCTCGTGCGACCACCGACCGTAGTAAACACGACGTCATTTTCTACTACCAAAACGTAGGCGGAATGAATTCTGGTGTTCTTGACTACCACCTAGCTGTATCGGAGGACCGGTGCTACGATGTCATCGTTTTTGTCGAGACTTGGCTCGATTCTCGAACGCTTTCCATCCAGGTGTTCGGATCCGAATACGAGGTTTTCCGCTGTGACAGAAATCCGAAAAACAGTCGGAAATCTACTGGAGGTGGTGTTCTCGTGGCAGTTCGTTCCGGGTTAAAGGCGAGAGCTATTGAAAACGTCTTGTGGAACTGTGTGGAACAAGTTTGGGTGGCCGTAGAACTGAGCGATCGCACACTGTACCTATGTGCGGTGTATATTGCACCTGACCGGGTTCGTGACAACGAACTTATCGATACCCAGTGCCGGTCCATTTTCACCATAATGGAGAGTGCGACACCAACTGATGAGATAATCGTTCTGGGTGACTTCAATCTACCCGGTGTTTCCTGGAAACCATCTTACAGCGGCTTTCTCTACCCAGACCCTGTACACTCTGTATTTCATACAGGATCAGTTAGCCTTCTCGACTGCTATAGTACAGCAACACTATCTCAAATAAACCACGTAGTCAACGAAAACAACCGTAGCCTGGACCTCTGCTTCGTTAGCGTTCAGGACACCGCTCCTTTCATCTCCACGGCACCTTCTCCACTAGTAAAGCAAGTACATCATCACCCTCCCTTGGTTGTCACTGTTGCTGACAATCACGATCGGGTCTTTGACGACATTTCCACGACCGTGTCATACGATTTCCGGAAAGCCGATCACCGTAGTATCATAGAGGTAACTCTAAGACCACTGGGTCCCGAAGAAAATCATTATTATTTTTGGCTCACTCAGTACCAGAACAACGGTCCCAAGCAGTCCCAAGCTATTTCACTCACCCCTGCATGTTCTGCATGAATCCACACACCCCTGATGTTATCTGTCAAACTTTCATAGCGAATCAAAACAAACATAGTGTAGTAATAGAATTTCAACTAGAATAGGGTACGTTAATCGTTTGCTTGGGACCAATAGGCTACTAAAGTGGTGAGCCAATTTAAAATCGTTAGTTTCGTATTGATTGTTGGTAGAACGGTCGTGATCCGGATACAGGAATCCATCGTAAGATCGCACAGTGGCACGAATATGAATAAAGACGGTCAAAAATATTTTCTACCCTTCTTCGACGTTTTAGAGACTGGGTGTCTTGGGAGAAGTTGCTCAAAATTATAACTCGCATCTTTTGAAATATACACCTGAATAATCTTTAAGCTAGTATTACACATCCAAATTCTAACTTTATCCAGTTACGAGATAATGGTTCCATGTCTTGGACAAAGTTGCAGAGCAGTTGATTTCATGAACATTTGCTAAAGACACCAAATTTCTACATCTTAACTCTGTAGAGCTATAATTGATTTTCTTTTAAGACTACCTTAATATTGGTTAAGTTTATTAGTGCTTTTTCAAATTTGATCAATTTATCATGTTCTAAGAAATTGTTGGCATCATTAAAATATACAACTTTGCTGAATACACCAATGCTTTTCATTGACATCAATGTGATATACAGCCCATCAAGCGTTTTTATGACGTCATATTCAACGGCTCGAAAAGAGGGTGGGCGGGCCCTGGCGGGGTCTAAAACTGGTTGTATTTTGAAGATTACCTTATAAAATAGTACTTCTGAAAATTTCAGCGTTGGGTACTAAGGGGTACCTAGCCAAATCTCGATTCGAAAATGTCAATATTATATACAGCCCATCGGACGGTTTTGTGACGCCATATTGAACGGCCCGAAAAGATGGTAGGCGGCCCCTGGCAGGGTTTAAAACCGATTGAATTTCGAAGATTACATTATAAAATAGTGCTCCTGAAAAATTCAGCGTTGGGTATTGAGCTATGAATCAATGATTTTAACCTACACATGTTTGAACTTGCAAATTATTTAAATTATTAAGCTTAATCTGGAGATGTATTTAATGGGTTTGTTCTAAATGTGTTTGTTCTTCTGTGTACCTACATTGATATGTACATTCATTGCAATATTGATACTCATATGTTGATAGTTGCAAATATTATAATGCAAGCTAATAATATTGGTATATTCTTTGCCCTTTATTATATACAATATGGACTAACTTTCAAGAAAACTAGAATAAATGATAAAATTCTGACTACGGTTCTAAAGGGTTCCAACTTTGGACCTACCCACACCACCCTCTTTTCAGAACATGGAACGTGACTTCACAACAGATGTTTGAAACTTCCGCGTGCACATCGCTGAACGCTGCAGCAGATGACTTTTTTGCGCTTGACGTTTTGGCGATAGCAAAGAGCGATAGAGTTTATTTAATTATCTAGGTGTGATTTTTTCACGAACAACTTGTATTGAAGTTGTGGTTCAAAATTAATTCATTAAATCTTTGTCGGATGGAATTGTTCAAAGTGTGGGCGGAGCAGATTCATGGAAATCGTCATGTCAAATATTATCGAAGATAGTCAGGTAAGGAGTAATTAAAACATATTTTTTTTTCAATATTGGCATACTCAAAATATCAAAGTTCAGAATATGCAGTTGATGAACAAACCCATTGATAACATTTCAAGATAATGCATTTTTTATATAGTTGTAAATTTTATCATGAGTAAGCAGCACACTCGTAGCAGGTTTATAACTTGTACTAAATATATATAAACGAGATATGACTAGGTACCCCTCGGTACCCTACGCTCAAATTTTTAGGAGTACTATTTTATAAGGTGATCTTCCAAATACAATCAGTTTTCGACTACATCAGGGCCCGCCTACCCTATTTTCGAGCAATTTAATATGACGTCACAAAAAACGCATGATGGGGTACATATAACATTGACTATTTCGACTCGAGATTTGACTAGATACCCCTGGAAACCCAGCACTGAACTTTTCAGAAGTACTATTTTATAATGTAATCTTCGAAATTCAATCGGTTTTAAACCCTGCCAGGGGCCGCCTACCATCTTTTCGGGCCGTTCAATATGGCGTCACAAAACCAACCGGTGAACACTCGTGTTTATTTCAGTTACCATGGAGACGTAATTTGTGATTAGCCCCGGTCCCTTTCAAATTGTATCATTATTTATGAACGGTTCTTATATTTGAAATGACGTTTCACATCCATCTAGTGATGTCCGATTTTCATTCGAATAATCGTTTAATCGATTAACGAACCGAAAAGTAAACTATTTATAATCGGTTACATCATGCCGATATAAGCATTAACATCACCACAGGATCATCACCGATCGTTTCAAACATGTGCTGCACTCTCATTGGTATAAAAATGGCAGCACAGCGAACAAAAAATAATCGATTAGTTGTTAATCGAGTAATTAAAAAATGGGACATCTCTGACTTTGGTGTGATTGTTTTGATAAAAATGAGCGCAAAATTTCATCTCTTCCGAGGGGGCAGCACAACCACAAAATTACCTTGAATACGGGGGGTTCTCATTGGATGAAAGGGACCGTGAAAGAAGACACTAAAATAGAAAGTTTTTCTTCCGACAGTTTCATCTTAGTATTCATCTTTGACAAAACCGTCCGATGGGCTGTATTTAATATTGACATTTTCGAATCGAGATTTGGCTAGGTACCCCTCAGTACCCAACGCTGAAATTTTCAGAAGTACTAGTTTATAAGGTAATCTTCAAAATACAACAAGTTTTAGAACCCGCCAGGGCCCGCCCACCCTCTTTTCGAGCCGTTGAATATGACGTCACAAAAACGCTGATGTCAATGAAAAGCATTGGTGTATTCAGCAAAGTTGTATATTTTAATGATGCCAACAATTTCTTAGAACATGATAAATTGATCAAATTTGAAAAAGCACTAATTAACTTAAAAAACCAATATTAAGGTAGTCTTAAAAGAAAATCAATTATAGCTCTACAGAGTTAAGATGTAGAAATTTGGTGTCTTTAGCAAATGTTCATGAAATCAACTGCTCTGCAACTTTGTCCAAGACATGGAACCATTATCTCGTAACTGGATAAAGTTAGAATTTGGATGTGTAATACTAGCTTAAAGATTATTCAGGTGTATATTTCAAAAGATGCGAGTTATAATTTTGAGCAACTTCTCCCAAGACACCCAGTCTCTAAAACCTCGAAAAAGGGTAGAAAATATTTTTGACCGTCTTTATTCATATTCGTGCCACTGTGGATCGCCAAGAAATTGCCGGTAGATTGAAGTCGCCAATCATCTCTTCAGCAGCTGTAGCGATCTCCATTATACTGACTGACTGACTGTGGGATTCAATTAGCGTAGAGTCGCGAGTTCGGTCCGGAAGAAAGTAAACTACACACAAAAACAAAGTGTGGTCAGCGAGCTTAATGGCAATCCAAACTTGTTCCTCACATGAATCGTTTTCGATAACTTTTGCCTTCAAACCAGAGCCGACCGGTATGAGAACTTCTCCACCAGTAGATTTGCGGCTGTTGTACGGATTCCGATCGCATCGAAAAACCTCGTATTCGGAACCAAACACTTGATTTGACAATGTGCGAGTATCGAGCCAAGTCTCAGTGAAAGCGATGACGTCGAAACAACGGGCACTAGAGTGGTTCAAAATAGCTCCACCTGGCTTAGTAGATCTTTATTCAGGCCCTGATAATTCTCAAAAAATTTTAGTTTATTTGGATGTGAACTCATACTGCACTGGTCCTTTGAAGTTTATATGGGAATTACAATGGGAAAAGTGAACTTTATGTTTGTAACGTCCTAGTACTTTGCCATAATAGTTTACTGATCAACTTTCTATTTGCTCTTATGTGAAATTTTATCAGCTTCAACTTTGCTGTAGATCACTTTTTGGTAGTTAGTTATTAATTGGTTTTGAAGTCGATAACTTTCTGTTATGATTTATCGACTGCTTTCGGGGCAACACTGCATCTTTTACTTATGACATAGTAGCCTGGATATTTTAACCTATTCTTCGTATTCTTCGAGGTATTCTTCGCGCTAAGTAAACCAATATTACCTGCTGAGCAGGCTAATTATCCTGACGTTGAAATCAAATGCGGTTTTGAGCAAGGTGGCAGCTGAGAAACTTTCAAATTAGTACAGATAACAAACTTTTCCGCAGATCATTACATCGAAGGGCTGGAATGATGAGAACAAAAAGAACACTTTTCCCATAGTACTTCCCATACAAACTTCAAAGGGCCAGTGCACTATAAGTTCGCATCCAATTGAGCTTAAATTTTGGAAGAATTATACCAGGACCTGATTTGAAATCGATTGAACTTGGTAGAGCAGCATCGATATTTTGAGCCACCCTAATGGATGCTGACTCGGATAAGGCGATTAGACAAGTGGTAAACATCGATACGGATATGTTGAAACGGTATGCTGCTTCGCTACGCATCAGCGGACTCTGGAGTACATGGGATTAAAGCTGCTTGTAATGTGGTTTCCGACGGCACCAAGTATAAAATAACGGAAGAGAGAAGGCTTTGGAGATCTCTGATCCCCTGATGATCTTAGGAATATTTTCTGAGACACCTGGTTTCGTAAGAGAACATATAAGAGACGTGAATTTCATTATTGGATTATTTGAGGTATTCAAAATGTTACCTGATCAACCTCATGTCTTGAAAAAATATCGTAAGGATTTCCCGGAGATCACTGATCACCTAATGCTTTTTAAATAATTTGAGATCATCCTGGTGTCATGGTTGAATATCTGAGATACGTGATTCGAACTTTTTGATAGTTGAAGATCTTAATAATACTTGATCGTCCTGAAGTATGGAAAAAAAATGTTCAAAAACAGTTAAGCACGTTTCTTCGGGACCTACTAGTCTTAGAGTTACCTCTATGTTATAACCATAGAGGTAACTCTAAGACTAGTAGGTCCCGAAGAAACGTGCTCAACTTTTTGCTCAGCTCTGGTACTATCTTCGGTCCCAAGCTAATCGATTCACCTCTCGAACATAGGAAAATCCAATAACCCCTCATTTTATCTGTCAAACTTTCATAGCGAATCAAAACAAACATTGTGTAGTACTGGAATTTATACTAGAATGGGGTACGTTAGTCGATTTGCTTGGGACCAATAGGCTAGTCAAGTAGTGAGCCAATTTAAAATCGTTAGTTTCGAATTGATTGTTGTTATAACTATGTAGTCTGAACAAGGCATAAGATATATCTATAGATTCATTTTTATGCTAAGTGATGTTTAAATCCCATTTATCGGAAAAAAAAATTCTTTTTAATCTAACAATGTTTTGAATTATGTTAGAGTGCAATTACGTTAAATCGAAAATTACAATTTTGTTTTGCTGTGTATGAGATCAGCCGTGGAGATGCCCTAAATTGAGTCGCGAATCGGAAAACTACGCAATTTTCTCGCACTGTGTCCCACACTGTCCGGCTATCGATATATTTGTCGATAAATTTGACAATCACGACCATTTTTATGCGAGCATTTTTGACATCTCCAACTTTGTGAAAGTCATCGTCATCGAGCAACAGCAAGATTTTCATTGTGCGTTAAATATTCAAAAATTCAATAAAATTTCAGATCATATCTCGCAAATTTATTGGTAAGTAATGAATTGATAGTGCAATGGTTGCAAGTAACTACTTTTTAATCTAGATCACGACAGAGAGAGCCGAAAAAAGGATGAAGCTGAACATCACTTCCGCCGCCGGCATCATTTGCCTGCTGGATGAACCGATCCAGGAGCTGAAGGTATTTGCTCTCAAGAAGCTGGACACCATCGTTGATGAATTCTGGCCGGAGATTTCCGAAGCTGTGGAGAAAATTGAAATCCTCCACGAGGACAAGGGCTTCGCGCAGCACGATTTAGCCGCCCTGGTCGCTTCCAAGGTCTACTATCATTTGGGATCGTTTGAAGATTCGCTGACGTACGCATTGGGAGCTGGCGATCTGTTCGACGTGAATGCCCGCAATGAGTACGTGGATACGATCATCGCCAAGTGCATCGACCATTATACGCATCTGAGGGTTCAGCTGGCGGAGAATCCGACCAAGGCCAAGGCAATCGATGCTCGATTGGAAGCGATTGTCAATCGTATGATCCAGAGATGCTTGGATGATGGACAGTCTCGCCAGGCATTGGGAATTGCACTGGAAACCAGGAGGATGGATGTGGTTGAATCGTCGATCATGAAAGCCGACGACATTCCCGGAATGTTGGCTTATGCTTTTCAGGTGTGTGATTGTGAGTTGAGGGGTGTTGTTGTTGGAAGGTGACTAATGTTTTATATTTTAGATCACGATGAGCCTCATCCAGAACCGTGCGTTCCGTAATACGGTACTGCGCTGCCTGGTTGGTCTGTACCGCAATCTTGGCGTTCCGGACTATGTCAACATGTGTCAGTGTTTGATTTTCCTGGAAGATCCGTTGGCAGTTGCAGAGCTGCTGGACAATTTGACGAAGGGTGGCGAGCATTCGGTTCTGATGGCGTATCAGATTGCCTTCGATTTGTATGAATCTGCCACCCAGCAGTTCCTGGGACAGGTGTTGCAAGCTTTGAAAGCTACGGCACCGATTCCATCAGCGCTGATTTCCAACATGAAACCTCAAGGAACGAGTGCAACAACAGTGGAGGTTAAGCAGGAGCCAAAGGAAAGCGAGGATGTAGAAGTTAAGGCAGATCGAACAGTGGACAGTTTGAATGAAAGCGAAAAGATTCACCAAGCGAACATTGAAAAGTTGGCTGGTATTTTGTCCGGAGAGGTTACGATCGATTTGCAGTTGCAGTTTTTGATCCGTAGCAATCATGCTGATTTGCAGATTTTGCGAGCGACGAAGGAAGCGGTTCGTGTTTCGATTTGCCACACGGCTACGGTCATTGCCAACGCATTTATGCACAGTGGAACGACCAGTGATCAGTTCTTGCGGGACAATTTGGAATGGTTGGCGAGGGCTACCAATTGGGCTAAGTTGACCGCTACGGCTTCGCTGGGCGTGATTCATCGTGGTCATGAAACGGACTCGTTGGCACTGATGCAAAGCTATTTGCCGAAAGAGAGTGGACCGAGCTCTGGATACTCTGAGGGAGGTGGCCTGTACGCTCTGGGATTGATCCATGCCAATCATGGTGCGAATATTATCGATTATCTGCTGCAGCAATTGAAGGATGCTCAGAATGAGAACGTGCGCCATGGTGGATGCCTTGGACTTGGGCTGGCTGCAATGGGAACTCATCGTCAGGATGTTTACGAGCAGCTGAAGTTCAACTTGTATCAAGATGATGCCGTAACGGGCGAAGCTGCTGGAATTGCCATGGGAATGGTGATGCTCGGTTCGAAGCATGCACCTGCCATCGAAGATATGGTGGCCTATGCTCAGGAAACACAGCACGAAAAGATTCTTCGTGGTTTGGCGGTCGGCATTTCTCTGACGATGTATGCCCGCTTGGAGGAAGCTGACTCCTTGGTTACCAGCTTGTCCAACGACAAGGATCCGGTTCTCCGTCGCAGTGGTATGTACACTGTTGCCATGGCTTATTGTGGAACTGGAAACAACCAAGCCATTCGAAAGCTGCTTCACGTCGCCGTTAGCGATGTAAATGATGATGTGCGTCGTGCTGCTGTTACGGCCATTGGCTTCATTCTCTTCCGCACTCCCGAGCAGTGTCCATCGGTGGTTTCCCTGCTAGCTGAGTCGTACAATCCACATGTCCGTTATGGTGCTGCTATGGCCCTTGGTATTGCCTGTGCCGGCACTGGACTTCGCGAAGCTATCGCTCTGCTAGAACCGATGGCCAAATTTGATCCGATCAACTTTGTACGTCAGGGTGCTCTGATCGCCTCGGCCATGATTCTAATCCAACAAACGGACCAGACTTGCCCGAAGGTTACTTTCTTCCGTCAGCTGTACACTCAGGTAATCACCAACAAGCACGAGGATGTTATGGCCAAGTATGGAGCTATCTTGGCTCAGGGTATCATCGATGCCGGTGGTCGCAATGTCACCGTTAGTTTACAGTCCCGCACTGGCCACACCAACCTTCAAGCCGTTGTGGGAATGCTTGTTTTCACTCAGTACTGGTACTGGTTCCCGTTGGCCCATTGTCTATCGTTGGCCTTTACGCCAACCAGCCTGATTGCCCTGAACTCGGACCTCAAAATGCCCAAAGTTGATTTCAAATCGGCCGCCCGTCCTTCCCTTTATGCCTACCCTGCCCCATTGGAAGAGAAAAAACGTGAAGAACGTGACAAAGTCGCTACAGCTGTTCTGTCACTGGCTGCCCGCGCCAAGCGTCGCACCGGTGATAAGAAGAAAGACAACAAGGAAGGCGAAACCAAGATGGAAGTGGATGAGGAGACTCCTGCCAAGGACGATCTCTCCGCCACCGTCAAAGCCAAGGAGGAGGCGAAGACAACTCCCGTGAAAGAGGACAAAAAGGAAAAGAAGGAAAAGGCGAAGGAAGGATCCTCATCGTCCCCTGCAACAGCCGGTGAGGAGGGCACAACAACCACCACCAAAACTCCCAAGGAGCCAGAACCCAGTTTCGAAATCCTCCACAACCCGGCACGCATTATGCGCCAACAGTTGAAGGTGATCAGCATTGCCGAGGGTACGGCCTACACTCCACTGAAGGACGTCACCATCGGTGGTATCATTCTGATGCAACACAACACCTCCGGTGACCAGGTTCTGGTCGAACGGGTCACTGCCTGTGGACCGAAGAACGACGATCTCAAGGAACCGGAAGCCCCCGAGCCGTTTGAGTATATTGAAGATTAAATGGATATTTTGTTTTGCATTCGAATATATTCAATTATATAACTTTACTATCAATGTTTAAGCAGAGTAGCTTTCAATTGCAAAAATAAAGGATTCGTGCCCGTAAATTGTTGTCTTGTTTTGATTCTACTTCGAAAGTCATGGTTTCAAATACATATATGTTATATAGTTAAACAAATCAACATATTTATTTAAAATGATAACTCACAATCATAATATAATACTGTGCCCTTTACAAAATAATACTAAGTAGCTCCAAAACTCAACCCAAATACATAGAGCGTTTTGTAGCAAAGAGAGCCAAATATCCTACTTTAACCGTTAAAAACAAAAATACATCATAACCATTGACGGAAATCAATCCGCATTCCGTTCCCGTGTGCGCGTTCCCAGATTCCGGATTCCCTGATCGCTCCATCGGTCGAAGCAATCGTACGCCTTGGAAATGCCGAAATATCCCACGAGGAAAACCAATCCGATCGAGCCGAGCAGACAACCGACACCGATCAGCACTCCGATCAACAGCATCGATGCCACAGTGATCAACGTCCCTTCGATGAGCACAAATCCGGTAAAGGTCATGATTGCCGTAGCCAGTGTGAAGAAGATGAATATCATAAACGGAAGCGACAGGATAAAGATGATCGCCGCTATGGACAGTGCCAGCAGGGGATATTTTCGTAGTCCGTCGCATATGGCGGTAGCTATCTCTTTCACACGATACCGCGCCATCAAGTCGTTTGCTATTGTTGAAATCAAATTGACTAAAAGAGATTTTCGTAGAAGTATAGACGGATTAGAAAAAAAAAAGGTGACAAGTCAGTGCTAATATCAAGTTATATCAAGGTCAGCTGGTAAAGGCTTTGAGGTGAAATTAAAACAGCTTTTTTTGCTAGATGGTGTAGATGCTTACAGTATAAAGTTGCCCGTTCCATGAAGTAACGCACCAGATCTTCAGCGTTCTGTTGGTTACGGCCATCGCGAGATCGGTAGCCATTGGGAGAAATATTGCGACTTTGACCACCTCCATCGGATGATAGATCGTCCTCCTAAAGCAGAATGTCACGGCATTAGTTTCCACTCAGAAATATGAGTCATTACTCGTAGAACTTACCACTTCACTTCCAGTCCGTAGCACCATTGTACCTTTGCTGATTTCGAACAAAAATGATTGAATTTGTTTTCTATGCTAACGTTTTCGCCGACGCCAATGTCTCTCGGCGTTTGATTTGAAGGCTAGAAGTTGGTTTTGTTTATGACCCGACCAGTGGTGCCAATCTATATAGGTTGTTTATAAACTATAGGTTTGGTGTGAGAACTTTAATGGTAATGGTTATGGTACTCAGTAAGGTACATGTACACTCAAAAATATTACTAAAATAAGAAAGATTAAAATTTAATCTAGAATTTAATCATTTTATGCATAACCAATGTTTATACATTGATTCGATTATTTTATTTTATCAAAATTATACTAAGTCCAACTACTGACGAAGAATTCGATCAGTGTATACCGCTGACAGCAAAGCTGTGCAAGAATTAAAAGTGCTGAAGGACGAAAACTGTTTTAGAAAAACTCCATTATCGTTCCAGCCCTCTCGTTGAGCTTCACACGCTGCAGGATATGTTCCATAATAAACAAATACCATAAACGAACTGTACCCCGGATGGGTAAACTATCCCACAAATGGTTTGGATGATACCCCGAACACGTCGTTAAGCTCTCTTTTATGGTTATTTTAATTGTGGTTGACAATCAAGAATAGGAATTCATGTCCTCGTCCACGCAGAAAAAACTATCGTCGTAACAAAATTATTTGAGGTAAATTTAAACGTAAACTAAGTTTTTTCTGGCCACAAACATAAATTAGGTTGATTTCAAACGTATTCCATGTTTGAAGTCATGTGAAATCAATGTTTAAAATAAAAATAATGTTACGTTTATTTCAAAAATATTCGTGTTGAAAATAAACGTATTTATTTTTGTTTGGTTTGACAGCTATGCTAACAATAATAAATATGTTTATTTTAAACATGCTTCTCATGTTTAAAATAAACATACATATTTTGGAATTATTTTAGTAGTTGAGTGCAGGGTAAAGCAAAATAAAACGGTTTGCAAAGAAATGGGCAGGGCATCTTAATTCCTGCTCTTTTTCGGGTGCGATTAAGGGTGACCTGTGGGTATTGGGGTCCTGGCCCGGGATGCGAGGACCCGTCGGGGGGGTTTCAGTTCAGTGGAACCGATGCAAATTTGTGTTATTATCGTCGTTTCGCCGTTTCTGCCTCGGTTTCTGCCACTGGTCCTCATACCGGTTTCTTTCCATGTTCGGTATCGGAGGAGGATCCGGAATGGATTCGGAATGGATAGCCGTTTTTTGTTGAGGTTGAGCAAAGCTGGGGCAACTTTTTTCCGAATGTAACAAGAAGGAAATAAAAAGGCATGACACGCTAAAAACCGTTTACCCAAATCCTATATTGTTGAAATAAACATGCTTTTGAATTTAATTCAAACATAAATATTTTTATTTTAAACATGCTTTCAATTTACTTTGAATAATTCATATGTTTAGAGTATAAACATTTATATTTTTGTTTTAAATGAACAAAATTCGTATCCGTGTCTTTATCCATAGTTCACCAAGGAGTAAACAAAGCTTTAGTAAATATTGAAGAATTGAATCAGTTAAGATTTGAGAAGGATATTTGAATCATAATTTTGTTTTTAGCTTCAAGCAACGTTGGCAAGCAAATGTGCCCAAGCACCACAATTTTCAAAATTCAATTGCACCATGTTTGCAAGCATAGAATCTTCTTGGCACCGAATGATGATGACCGGTTTTGAAACGGTGAAGAACTGCTGGTAAGGTGAATTTGAACAGTTTCGCTTGCCAAGTGCCAACTCTAAACTAGATCCAAACATCCTCTTTTTCCAGGCCGGTTACAACGCCAAAAAATATGAACCTGAATCCGATCACTCGCTAGCGCCATTCGGTTTGCACCATCACGGTCAATTTCTTCCGCATGTTGGACCCTAGGAGGCTAACTATAAATACACTCCGAACTTGAACGAAACTGGCGCGGATCGATATCAGATCGTTTGAACAGTTTCGGAAGCGTGAGACCGCGTGAGACTACAGTTTTGAAATCGTCATAGGCCAAGAGATTGTTTGCCTCGTTGATGGATGTGCAGTGTAGATTTTTCTAAGTAGGAGACTCGGCTGTCCTGTCAATATCAATCTTATGGAAACGAGCAGCACGAGGAATCACCGGATAGCAGCTGATCCAAGTTGCCACATCTCTAACAATGCCCACGGAAACAACACAGATAACATTTTGGATACCCACTATTGCACTTATTTATCGGTTCGAATTTTCTGCATATCATTTATTAATCCAGTTTATGTTATATGATTTATTGTGATAAATAATAATTGACAATAAATTTGCTCCTGTAACATTAATATTATGATTAAAATTAATAACACAGCGGCGCCGGTGGTAAGCGTGATTGCCTCTTTCACCCCAATGGGCCTGGGTTCAATCCCAGTCGGCGCCGTTGGGATTTTCTGAGGCAGGGAAGTAAAGCCGTTGGTCCTCGGTCCATGAGTTGATGGGTCGATTAACTAGGGTTCAGGGTGGGAGCTGCCTCCCTGACGTCGGTAGCATTGGTACTTCAGTACGGAAAACAAGATCGACGGAAAACACATCGAGAGATCGAAAATTAATAACATTGGAAATATCACTGACCAGCACATAAAAATACTACTCATGGAATAAATCCCCTTTATGCATCATTTGAATATTGGCACTTTATACATTTGACTGCATAAAGCATTTGATACTAAGTCAGTTTTCTCTCCCTTTATACCAATCTATGCGTTGGTCAGGAGAGTTGTGATTTAGCATAATTTTCAATCTATTTAAGCCTGGTACGCAGCTGAAAAGTAATGACGTTTTTACGTGCTACGGGATAGGACCCGGAATGCTAAAGAAATTTCTTTTAATTAGCATTTCTTGACCCAGTACGCAGTTCAAAAGAAGTCGGTAAAGGTAAGATCGATTACATTAGTATCGTGATCGATATGAAGGTGGCGCATTCAGAATGCAATTTCATTTTCCTTGCGGAATAATGGTCTGGCCAATTATTCCGTTAAGTAATTTTAACGTTTGTTGTAAAAATGATGTTTTGGATGCAAAATTAGACGACACCTACCTATGATCTCAAAATTTAGCAAAAGACACCTCCCTATAGCTGTCAAATTTACTTTTGGGAATATTCCTCAAAAATTACTTTTCCGTTTTCTTTTCAGCTGCGTACCAGGCTTTAGATTTGAAAATCTTTTAAGTGTATGCTTTTGAATTATCGATCACCCACAGACAAACAGACATAACACTCGCAAGTTGTTCATCGAACAAACATTCAAACATAAATCAAGATTTACCGTTGTTCTGTATGTTCGAAAATCCCTGTGCTGTCGATCGACCGGTTTTCGAGAAGAACTCAGCCACGGTTGTCAAAATTTAACTTCTTGTCTGTCAGAAATAACCACGCTCGGATAGCAGGGTTAATCTATAACTTTCCATCTGTCAAATTTTAACCAAAAGTTAAAAAAAAATCCACCAAATGGTTCAGAGCCTTAGTAGAGTTTCCAGCAAATCCTAATAGGCAGAGGCGATGTTATAATAAGAGTACCACCAAGAGAAAATGTTGCATACAAGCAGCACTGTTTGTGGTTTATTAAAATTATTAAAAAAAATCGTCAAAGTAAACGGCCACCAGGTTTTTTTTTTTTTTTTGAGTTAGCATCGGATTTCTTTTCATTCAGAAGTTAAAAATTTCATGTCGATAACGGAGCTTCTGGAAGACAAAAACAATAGAACCAAAAAAATGTTCAAACAAGTGCTTGGTATAACTTATAAATACCACAATGTAATTGATTGATTGATTTATCTTTATTAGGGAGGCTTTCAGCCTGGGGCTGGTTCGCCTCCAGGTTACCAAAATGTACTAAATAAAGCTAAGAAATGTTTTTCATCTAGAATTACTAAAATATTGTCAGTAATGAATGCAATACCTTGTTTGGTACCTCGCTTGACAGTTCGATTGGTACTTCTGGCTTCATTCTTGGCGGAACTCTTATTATAACATTTACTCTGCTAATAGATGAAGATGACGAATACCAAGAGAAATTGATAATAATCGTAAGAAGGGGCACAGTTAAACCCGAGGTTAAACCCAAGATAGATTCCTGTGAATCTTGAAAGATATCCAGCGGTTGCAGATAATCTCAAGAGAGACTTGGTTCAGGAGAGAATTACAAAGATTATCATGAATGTTTCTACACAGAAAAAAAAGTTGTTGAATATTACATCCAAACTGCTGCAACCAGGTCAACCCTAATTAAAATAACCATAAAAGAGAGCTTAACGACGTGTTCGGGGTATCATCCAAACCATTTTTGGGATAGTTTACCCATCCGGAATACAGTTCGTTTACGGTATTTGTTTATTAGGGAATCCATCGGTTTTGTAATATAACGTTGTGCGATGTACATCGATTTTGCGAACAAAATTACATCCATTGATGTAATATTGTATCTGCTTTTCACTATTACATCATTATTTCATACATCAGCTTAAATTACATTATTGATCGAAATTACATTTTTTTTTTGCTGTTTACTATAATCTCAAAATGCGTTGCAAAGAATCTCAAGAGAAATTCCAATAATTGAGATTCTAAGAATTCCCAGAGAAAAAAGAGGTTCCAAACAATCCTGAGAGAAGTCGGCCAGATTTTCTCTAAGGATTGGCTGCTTGGAACTCGCTAGAATCCCCCAAGCGAGATGCCAGATTTTCCAGAATATTCCCCGGATGTGTCTGTTTCAACAACCTAATCGGAGTCTTCGGCCCGGTCGTCGAAACCGGAGATATCCGCCGACTGCAACGTCGAATGGGACAGTGTTTACTCTACTCAGTGATAAATGGTAAAACACATACTGATCTCAGAGCGGATTATCTCTACCGTTCTCCTGATATCGACCATTCTTCAGCCACGATATGCAAATGTTCAACAGAGATTTCAATAGACATATTCCGGTGCTACCATAGAGGTAACTCTAAAGGCCCAAGCGCAATGTGGGTGGAAGCGGAACGGAAACGGAAAGTTTGACAGTTGTCACAAATGGCATCAAGATGCCTAACCGAAGTCGATTTGATTCTAACTAGTTTTCAATCCGACAAGCAGGCTTATACCCCGTTCACATTACAGCGTATATCACGTGATATACGCTGTCTTGCAATGAGCACTCATACATCTAGTTTTCACTGGAAATCCTATGCATGAGTGCTCATTGCAAGACAGCCTATATTACGTGATATAGGCTGTAATGTGAACGGGGTATTACCATAGAGGTAACTCTAAGACCACTGGGTCCCGAAGAAAATCATTATTATTTTTGGCTCACTCAGTACCAGAACAACGGTCCCAAGCAGTCCCAAGCTATTTCACTCACCCCTGCATGTTATGCATGAATCCACACACCCCTGATGTTATCTGTCAAACTTTCATAGCGAATCAAAACAAATATAGTGTAGTAATAGAATTTCAACTAGAATAGGGTACGTTAATCGTTTGCTTGGGACCAATAGGCTACTAAAGTGGTGAGCCAATTTAAAATCGTTAGTTTCGTATTGATTGTTGGTATTACTCAGATCGGGCTTTTCCGCTGCCGCTGCCGTTCCGCTTCCGCTGTTATTGCGCTTGGGCCTTAAGACTAGAAGCAACAATCAATACGAAACTAACGATTTTAAATTGGCTCACTACTTGACTAGCCTATTGGTCTCAAGCAAATCGATTAACGTACCCCATTCTAGTCAACATTCTAGTACACACAATGTTTGTTTTGATTCGCTATGAAAGTTTGACAGATAAAATGAGGGGTTATTGGATTTTCCTATGTTTCGAGGGGTGAATCGATTAGCTTGGGACCAAAGATAGTCCCAGAGCTGAGCCAAAAAGTTGAGCACGTTTCTTCGGAACCTACTAGTCTTAGAGTACCAATAGACTGAGTGAATCCAATCTTTACTTTTCTCAAATTCGGGAATTTTTCCCTGGAAAATCCTGGAAAAACCTGGGAAAACATGAGACAAATTTTACTCATCGATGAGATCCTGTACGCACCAAATTTTGTTTTCATCTTCCAGCAAAATGGTTTGCTGAAAATGATCCAGCAATACGATTTTTGCTGAAACAACAGCAAACAACTTTTTAATTACTGAAAACCCAGTAAATCAGTTTTTTGCTGAAAACCAGTAAATCATAAATTGTCAAAAAGTCTTGTGATTTTTCTCATTAGTTTGACGACCGTAAAATTCTCCAAAAATGTATTGTATTAGGAATTCCTGGTTTCTGATTGAAGAAGTTCACTATTGTTCGTAACAATAACGGTAAGACGGGAATACATGGAAGGAAATATTATTTCTTAGCAGGTTGTGTTTAATTTTAGGTTATTATGGTGGAAAAGATTCTTTCAGAAAAATTATCATCCGGTGCTAGTAGAGATGATCTTGGATATATTTGAACGCCCTAATAATAATTGTATGGTTAATTTGCTTAACGACGTGTTCTGGGTATCGTGTATGGTTATTTTTTATTAGGGCGTTTAGTGCTTAAGGGTAGATATGAACCGAATAAAATAGTTTTTTAATGAGTTCTCATTCGTTTTGCATTATTTTGTTTAATAAAGTGAGAAAAACGTGCGTTTATAATGGCTGAACGATCAGCAATATTTCCACCATAATTTTCAGAAAAAAATTGCTGGTTTTCCAGCAACCTTCTGTCAAAAAAGATTTGCTGGAAAACCAGCAAAATTTATTTTGCTGAATGGATTGCTGGCTTTCCAGCTCGGCAAAATCCAGCAAAATTTTGCTGGTTTCCAGCAATAAAAAATGAGTGTGGCACTTTTGGCGATTATGAGTGACCTAAACTCAAATTTGGGTCGTTCTCATTCGCCGTGCAGCGTGCACCGGAAAAGTCGCTGAATTCTGTCAAACTGAGCGGAAAGTTTTGAAGTTTCCCGATGGACAGTGTGCGTGTGATTACGTGCGTGTTTACAACTTGAATCTAGCGTTGTTTGCGTGCGAGCTCTGCTGGCAGAAGTGAATCGGATCTCGGGAGAGAAAAAATTTCTTTCAACCATTCGCTGGTTGGCAGGCGAACTTTTCAAAGTAGAAAGTTTTAAAAGTGCAATTCAGTCGTGAAAAGTGCTTCGGAAACTAGCAAAGTTGCAGTAATTCGGTAAACGGTGAGTTGTTGCGCGTGGAATCGATAAAATTCGTCACGTTTGGTGCTGTTTAGAGCTGAAAATCAGTGCGGGTGTGGTGTGAATGTGAACGAGCAAAAGGGAACCGTTTTTTGTATGCTTACTCCTAGGGCTCCACTGGCAGAGGCAGACCATTATTCTGGTGTCAGCTAGTAGGTTTTTGGAAAGGACGGTCGTGGGAGCGACGACGGCGGGGGAGTGCAGTTGAGTGTAGTGTGTAGTAAACAAAAATCAAAATGGCTGCTGTTTCTTGTGCTTGAATGAAGTGGTGCAATTTTTTCCGTTTCGAAGAATCCGGTGGAAGAACCTTTTATGTCCGACGAATGTTGATATTTTGTATCATGTGAATTAATTTTGTTTTCTACCTGGTTTGTTGAACAAGTACATGAAAAAGGTCATTAATTGATGCCTGTGTGTTGCACAAATTAAGGTGACTAATCACGCAAATTACTAGGAAATAATTGGAAGTCATACAGTGAATAAGTTTAACATTATGGCTATGCGGTGAACACAGAAGCTTACATGAATAAAAAAATGTAGTAAGTAATATGGATACTTCATCGACATTAGAACCAGGAAAATAGTGCCATTCGTTTCGTGTCGTTCTTCGTCTACCCATGAATGTGTTTATTTGTTTCTTTAAATCCAAACATGGTTCAACAGTCGTCGGATTCTCTTTGATATTCTTCGGAAATGGTTCATCTGAAGCGAACACCAATGAAGCAAAGACAGCTCATCCAGCGAGACTTTCAAAATGGAGTTTTCTCGGAACAGCAGTATAACAGAGAAGAGAAGAAAAATCATCATACCCATATATAAATACGTAACAAGAATGTCGGGAGAAAGACGAGCTAGAGGAGAGAAAGAAATAATCATAAACCTCTTACGGATTTATACAACCCAGCCAGAGTCAGCCAACCCCGCGTGCCTGTTTCCACTGTTTCATTTGTTATCTGCCTTTGCTTCAAACATGGATCTTCGTAATCTACATCGGCTGAGAAGTTTTGTTCTCGTTCTCACTGCACACAGTACAGTAGTGGAACTTCTTACTCTGTGTTATGTTTGTGCCGCGCTGTCGATAGTCGCAAGGACGGCTTACAGCTCGGATTAGATTGGACCTTGATAGTGCGACTGGATGAGAAAAGTATATGCCAAGGGTTCAGTTTAGTGTATGATAACGATATTGGAATTTGACGCGTAATTATTGTAAGTATAAAGTATCTGAAGGTTTCGACGTTCTTATGTACAAGGAGTAGTCTGCGCCACAGATTCCTTGTTTGTCCGATCATTCAGGATAGGGAATATTGTCGGCTTCCCTGTGTGTAACCGTGCTTGTAATTTATGGAAATAGCTTCTGGATCCTCCAAGAAACTCTTTTTTAAAGTCTATCTTAATTGTTAAAAGAAACTTCAACGCAAATTTATTTGGAATGTAAGGATTTCCTCTTGGGAATTTAAAAATGCGTTTGGGAACATGATTACACAAGGAGCTGTAGAAATTATTCATTTATTCATTTAGTTATTAGCATCATTTGATCGGATTACAACTTAATAATTAACACATCATTGTAAATTATGTTTGCGCAAACGACATTTAAAAGTTTCGCAACTAACACAATGAAAACAGAGCTGAGGATAGGATATGAATATGAATGAAGGATGTTTCAAATCACGTTTACATTTACATTCAGTTAGGCCAATATGTGAGATATGTCAACTATTTCATACCTACCAACACTTTGTTAGAACAAGAGTTCTTCCCTTTTAATTTTAAATTTACAAGCTTCCGTAATGGCCCTCCCCTTGGCTAGTTTTTGCACCTTGCTGTTGGTGGGCGGGCTTAATTTCATGCTAGTGGAGTGTTGGAGACGGTAGATTTATGGTCGGCGTTGCTGGCTCATGCCGCGATAGAATGGCGTCATGGGCAGGCAATGGGGATTACTAAGCTTCCCCTCTCTGATAAACCACTGCATGAGAGAACCAAAGATCTAGTCTAGCAGTGATAGTATCACACTTATTACTCCTTTTATTGAGAGCCGCGTCGTAGTACGCTTACGTATAGGCACTGACGTTGGGTGTGATACTGGCGGGTTTTGCCGCAAATCACTCTTATTTTATTTATTTTTTACGATAGATTTATTTGGGTTTGCAAGGGAATTATACTATTGAAGTATTTCAGAAAGTGCCCATCGGTGCTCCTTCTATTTGCGTGACAAGCTTTCATTGTTGTTTTCATTGAGGTATTACTCAGGGAACAATGTTAAACACCATTTTGGACATGGTATTGTAAATAATCTTATATGTGCTTCATTTTGATTTGGGATAAGTGTTTGAACTATGGCTCGGGATTTCCACTGTGGTGTGCTTCTATTGTGACATACCCATATGTATTTTTGTGGTGCGACATAGTGGAAACGTGAGAGCGTAATTGGAACATATACCCTATATAATGTAAATATCAGCTAGGAAACTAACTTCAAAATGAAGCATTTTAGTCACATGAAGGTGTTACCTGGGTCGAACTAAGATATAATAAATAGGTATAGGCTTAAATCAAAAGTACTTGAAACACGTTTAATTTTAGATTACAAGCACAAGTGCAGGTACTTTATAAAGCATGGGTTATGATTGATTAGGTGAATTAGAGCTTTTAATAATTTATTAAATTAGACTAATGAGATATCATAATCATCAAATGAACTTAAATAAGAAACTTCAGAAAGTCTAATGACATTAAGTAGATTAACAAAAGAATTAGGATGCGGGGGGTCCGCTTAGGAGGCAACTAACCTTTAAAGTTGTAGAATAAATCTTCTTATTTAGGTTTGAACATTAACAAGAAAACGCAGGCAGACCAATACTATTAAGCAGATTAACAAGGAGAGGAATAGTTTAGGAAATAAGTAAAAGTAAAGGTATGTGACAATTAATAGCTTTTAAACTTTTGGAGGTATTGTATTCCCCTGAGTTTGTTGTACTCGATTACTATATAATTCTCTCAATACGCGAAATCTCTTATATATGCGGTTAAAGCATTTGAGTTAACTTATTTCTTAGTGTTCAAGTACTTACATTTGTAAACAGCAGTCAATGCTAATCTATGAACTAAACCATACGTAAAATCGATCTTTCCTTATGTGGTATTGATGCATGTTTAACTTTTCGCGGCTGTCGGAATCAACGCGCCTACGTCTAGAAGTGATTCGCAAATGCGGTAGAGCTCACCAAAAGTTTTTTTGAGCTTCTGTAGTATAGAATTTGTTCGTTACGGTCGCGAAATCTTGAAATGATTGATACGTGCGGTAAAATAACTAAATTGAAACAAAGCTCAACAGTAAAATAAGTAGAATATTTAGGGAGGAAACCAAAATTAATCAACTTGCCAACATAGGCTATCACATTTATTTTGGTGGCACTCTTTAAGTGATAATAAGTTGTTTTTTTTTCTCTACGGTTGTTTCGCGTGGCGTTCACAATTTGCGCGATTTTCGTATCTTACGTAATTTAGATGTTTAGCTATAAACGGTTTCACTGACTTGAGGTCGTTCCTTAAGCGGTGTTGGTACAGGTTAAACCTTTGCCGACTGTCGGATTCAACGCGCCTACGTCTACGGAGCTTACGCAGAAGTGATACGTAATTCGGTAAAGTTTGTCAAACGCTTTTGAGCTCATAGAATTTGTTCGGTGCGGTCGCGAAATCTTGAAATAATTGATACGTTCTTAAAATTAACAAAAATGGAACAAAGCTCAGCAGTAAGTAAGTAGAATATCTAGGGAGGAAACCAAAATTAATCAACTTGCCAACATAGGCTATCACATTTATTTTGGTGGCACTCTTTAAATGATAATAAGCCTTTTTTCTCGCTTCGGTTGTCTCGCACGGCTTTCGGAATTCGCGCGGTTTTCGTAACTTACATAATTTAGATATTTCGTTCGAAACGGATTTACTTATTCAATCGGTTTACTACGCGGATGTATCTACGCGCACACGTCACAGCATTTTTTCTATAACTATCTTAAAACAATGCATACGGAATCCAGTGTTCAAGCGGCCAACATAGGCTAGTCCTTCTGCTGTATTGTCAAAGATAGAAGCAAAATTTATTCAAATGGGTCAAGTCTTGAAAACTAAGCTGTCACGCAGCTCCAGCTTAATACCCAATAAAAAAAAAAAATAAATAAAAAAAAAAAAAAAAAAAAAAAATTTACAAGCTTCCGTAATGGAAGATCGATATACATCTCCGAGAATATTTTGCTAGAAAAAGTCAGAGTAATGGTCAATTATCACTTTATACTTCCTGATACTCTTAGAAAATGATAGTTGAAAATTGTGATCAGAAACGGGTTAAATTTCCATCGCCGGGTGTTGTTGTGATGATCCACATTTAGCACAAATGGAACATTGACGAATACGGCCTTTATGTAGCTGTTCATCCCAGGTCACAATATTTAGATTAGTTTTGGCCAACTTCATAGTTGATTCAAAGAGATACAGGAATCCCTTAATATTTTTTTGTCATGCTACTTAGAATTGTTCAGAATCCTCCATTTGGGATGACTGTAGTCCTCCCTGAGATTGTCTGGAATTGTACGGAATCCTTCTGCGATTGTTTGGGATCCTCTCTGAACTATCATGAATGCCCCTTAATTTTTACTGAAATCGTCCTTTTGACTGTCCAGAATCCCTGTTGGGTTTGCCCGAAGTCCCCTCTGATATTGTCCGGAAACCGTACTGTGAGTGTATGGAATCTTTTCTGATAACTGTCTGGAATCACCCCTAGGCTGGTTCGGAGTCCCTCCGGAGACTGTCATAAATCCCTTTTTCGATTGACTGGAATCCTTCCAGAGATTGTCCGAAGTATTCTAGGGATTGTCAAGAATCCCTCTGGGACTGTCCTGAATCCTTCTTGTGATTGTCCATCAGAATCCGTATTATGTGGTTGCTAATGTTTCGCAGCGTGCTATACGAAAGTGCAATTGCCT